ATTGCTAAACAAAATACACTACATTTGTTGCTTATTCAACAAGACTGTTCTAGTTAGACCAGAAAAATGAATATCCTAATCCACGCTTGACCACTTCAGGTTTAATGGAACTCACACAAAAGAGCCAGATCAGGCAGTGTCCCATTCACCTTTGGACTAGGAAGATACCAATGTAGAAAAGTCACCTGAGCACACTTCATAGCCACTTCTCTCTCTGTCGTAATTGCACCATATTACTATCCCAGCCTAAGCTACTATGATTAAAGTCTTCCACTGCACTACTGTATTGCGGTTGCATTACACTATAACTTCTTCTGCAAATCTGTTCCCTGTATCTTTCCCTTCAGATAGTGGACTATGAAAAACATCCAGAAGTATAATAGCACTGCAAGTAGATTCTGGCCTTGACCCTTTGGAACATCTTTCTCGCACACAAAAATATTTTCCATAATCAGTATTTTGCCACATCTCTTTTCTTTCCTTCTTTATCTTTCAGTCAGGTAGATGGGTGACTGCCAGGAGAGGCAGGCAGGTAGTGCAGGAGTTTCCTGTGGCTATTCCCTCTCTTATAGATATACCGTTTTGGATACTGTGGGGGGGATAGCGTCTCAGGGGAGTATAACCACAGCAGCCAGGCCTGTGGCACCACGATTCGCTCTGCTGTTGAGCAGGTTCAGGCAAGATCCAAGACAACGATATTGGTAGGAGATTTGATAGCTAGGGGCACAGACAGATGTTTCTGTAGCTGTGTTTGAGACTCCAGGATGGTGTGTTGCTTCCCTGGTGCCAGGGTCAAGGACGTCTTTGAGCGGTTGCACAAAATTCTTCAGGGTGAGGGTGAGCAGCCAGAGGTTGTTGTGCACGTTGGAATCAACAACATAGGTATAAAGAGGGATAAGGTCCTGCGGAGTGAGTGCAGGGAGTTACGAAAGAAACTGAAAAGCAGGACCTCGAGGGTAATAATCTCTGCGTTACTACCAGGGTCACGTGCTAGTGAGACGAGGAATAGAAGGATAGGACAGATGAATGCATGTCTAAGGAGCTGGTGCAGGGGGCAGGGTTTCAGGTTCTTGAATCATTGGGACCTCTTCTGGTGGAGGAGTGAACTGTACAAGAGGGCCTGGATCAGTACATAAGTCTATGATGTTGTGGCCATTCCAGAGACTTGGTTGAGAAAGGGACAGGCCTGGCTGTTCAACATTCCAGGGTTTCATTGTTTTAGGTGAGATAGAGAGCAAGGTAAAAGAGTTGGAGTAGTTGCATTATTAATCAGGGAGAATGTTACACCTGCAGTTAGAGAGAACAGACTGGAGGGCTCATCCACTGAAGCAATATGGGTAGAGCTCAAAAATAAGATGGGTACAATTACTCTGATAGGATTATACTATAGTACTCCCAACAGCTACCGAGAGATTGAGGAACAAATATGTAGACAGATTATGCAATAAAAACAGAGTTGTCACAGTCAGCAATTTTAACTTCCCCAATATTGACTGGGACTCCCTTCCAGCAAGAGGCTTAGACAGGGCAGCATTCGTTAAGTGCATCCAAGAGGGTTTCTTGAAACAGGATATGGATAGTCCAACTACAGGACGGGCCATACTGGACATTGTATTGGCAAATGAGCCTGGCAGGTGACTGATCTTTCAGTGGGAGAGCATTTTAGATACAGTGATCACAACTCCATAAGATTTCAGATAGCTATGAATAAGGATAAGTCAGGACCATGTGGCAAGGTACTAAATTGGCGGAGGGCAAATTATGTAAATATTAGACGGGATCTAGGGAGTATTAATTGGGAAGAGCTGTTATCAGGCAAGTCCACATTTGACACGTGGGAACTGTTTAAAGACTTGCTGATGAGTGTTTAGGACCAGCATGTCCCAGTAAGGAGGAAAGACAAGGAAGGCTAGGTAAGGGACACTTGGATAAAAAGGGAGATTGTGAGTTTAGTCAAAAGGGAAGAAGAAGCATATATAAGGTTTAGGAAGCTAAAATCGGACAGGGCCCGTGAAGAATATAAAGAAAGCAAGGAAGAACTCAAGCAGGGAATTAGGTGAGCAAGAAGGGGCCATGTTGGCAAGTAGGTTTAAAGAGGATCCCAAGGCATTCTATACATACATTAAAAACAAGAGGATAACTAGGCAGAAGGTAGGGCCACTCAAGGATAAAGGAAGGAAATTGTGCTTGGAGGCAGAGGATGTGGGTGAGATCCTTTACGTCAGTATTCACCCAGGAGAAGGATATGGATGATAGTGAGATTTGTGTGGAGCATGCTAATATGCTCGGGTGTTTTGAGATCAAGAAAGAAGTGACATTGGGTCTCTTGAAGGGCATTAAGGTGGATAGGTCCCCGGGGCCCGATGGTATCTATCCCAGGTTATTGAGACAGGCAAGAGAGGAGATTGCTGAGGCCTTGACCAAGATCTTTGTATCCTTTCTAGCCACTACAGCGGTCCCCGAGGACTGACAAGTAGCTAATGTTGTTCCTCTGTTCAAGAAGGGAAATAGTGATAATCCAGGAAACTATAGAGCGGTGAGTCTCACATCAGTGGTTGGGAAGTTTTTGAAGAGAATTCTTAGAGATAGGAAAAGCATGGCCTAAATAGGGACAGTCAGTGTGGCTTTGTGCAGGGCAGATCATGTCTTACCAACGTGACTGAACTTTTTGAGGAGGTAACAAAGGTGATCGATGAGGGTAGAGCAATGGATGTTGTCTACATAAATTTTAGTAAGGATTTTGACAAGGTCCTTCATGGCAGGCTCACCCAGAAAATTAAGATGCATAGGATCCACGGTGACTTGGCTTCATGGATTCAGAATAGGCTTACCTATAGAAGGCAGAGGGTTGTGGTGGAAGGGTGTCTTTCTGGCGAGAGGTCCATGAAGAGTGGTACTCCACAGGGATTCTTACTGGAACTTCCAGTGTTTGTGATATATATAAATGACTTGGATGAAAATGTAGATGGGTGGGTTAGTAAGTTTTCAGATTATACAAAGATCAGTAGAGTTGTGGAAAGTGTAGAAAGTTGCCAAAGAATACAGCAGGATATAGGTCAATTGAAAATTTGGGCAGAGAAATGGCAGATGCAGTTCAATCCGTGTAAGTGTGAGGTGCTGCACTTTGGGAGATCAGATGTTAAGGAAAAGTATACAGTTAATGGCAGGACCCTGAACAACATTAACGTACAGAGGGATCTTGGGGTTCAAGTCTGTAGTGCCCTGAAAGTGGCCATGCAAGTAGATAGGGTGGTAAAGAAGGTATATGGCATGCTTGCCTTTATTGGTAAGGGAATTGAGTACAAGAGTCAGGATGCCATGTTGCAGCTTTGTAAGACTTTGGAGTATTGTGTTCAATTCTGGTCGCCACATTACAGAAAGGATATGGCAGCTTTGGAGTGGGCGCAGAAGGGGTTTACCAGGATGCTGCCTGGATTAGAGGGTGTGAGCTATAAGGAGAGGCTAGAAAAACTCCAGTTGTTTTCTCTGGAATGGCAGAGGCTGAGGGGGAACTTGATACAAGTCTATAAACTTATGAGATGCACAGAAGGGTTGATGGTCAGAATCTTTTTCCCAGAGTTGAAATATCGAAAACTAGGGGGCATGCATTTAAGTGAAAGGGGAAAGCTCAAAGGAGATGTGAGAGGCAAGGTTTTTAGACAGAGTGGTATGACTCCGAAACGCACGGCCAGCGGGGGTGATGGAGGAATATACGATAGGGGCATTTAAGAAAGTTTCAGATAAGCACATGAATATGCAAGGCATGGAGGGATTTGGACCAAGGGCATGCAGAAGGGATTAGCTTAATTTGGTGTCATGTTTGGCACAACATTGTGGGTTGAAGGGCCTGTCCCTGTGCTGTATTGTTCTGTGTTCTGTTTTTCCTTAGCATATAGTATCCAGGAATATTCAATCCCCAATCCTACCCTTCTTTCAGCCAGATCCCCATATTCATCTCAAATTGTATCCCCTATGACTATCTCTCCCTGCAGCTCAATAATCTTGTTTACCCTACTCCACATATTCATATTAACGCACAGTCAGCTCTATTTCGATTGTTTAAAATTCCGACTTACTCTGACTCCACTTAATACCATACTATTTTCCATTCAAGTGCTATCTGACTCTATCAGTTCTTAGTTTTACAGGTTTCCACTCCCTGGTAAATTAGTTTAATCTCTCCTCGACTAGGGCACTACTAGATTATTGTATCCATTTCTGGTAATTACACAGTAGCAAGGTTTTGAAAATGTCAGAGATTTACCAGAACAGTTCCAGGAAAGAGGGATTTTAGCAACAAAGAGAAGCTGAACTGCTCTGGGTGTAAAGAAAATTGAAGGGAGATTTGATAGAAGTATATAAGATTATTTAAGTTTAAATAATGTAAACAAGGAAAACAGCTTTCTTTTTATTTAAAAGTACAAAGTCTAGAGAACACACATTAAAGATTTGGGCAAGAAATACAGAGATGATGGAACGAAGAAAACACACTGAATTTACTGCCTACTTATTAAAAGAATAACAAATGAATAACTTTAAATAAAATTCAATGTTTGATGGGTATGTTAGAAATAAACCTTTAGGGCTGCCAGCATACAATGGGGTAATTGTATGCATTGCTCCACAGAGAGCCAGCATTGAGTCAATAGACCGAATGACCCCCATCTGTGCCATGCATAACTCCGTGTCTCCATCACTCAATGTAGTCCTGAAACCCACTGACTAAAAGTTTTTGATATTTTCTCCAGGCTATTTGGTTAAGCGGAATCGCTACCAGTTACCATAGAAATAATTTGGTAAATTTCCATACTGGTTCATCAATAGTGTATCCTGCTTTATTAAAGAAGATAATAGCAATATTTGTGCCTATGCTGGTACTGTAATAATAACGTTGTAATTATAGTGCAAAGTAAATCTGTGATTTTATGAGAACTGCATTATTGAACAGAAAATTGAAGAACCATTCTCGTCTAAGTAGGTATATTTTTGTTTCTAAACAGACGTGGTGTTCTTCACCTTCATGAAAGTGCCGGGATCCATGATATTGGCAAACCCAGGTGGCAGCTAACCTGCTGCTTATTTGTGGTTATTGTCATCCTTTATTTCAGTCTCTGGAAGGGAGTTCGAACTTCTGGCAAGGTGATTCTACTATTCTCTTACAGATTTTTTTAATCAACCTGTTTAGAAAAGTTATGACATATCTCTGGAGCAGAAAAAACTTGAATCCAGGTCTCCTGAACCAGAGGTAGAGGCACTATCACTGTGCCACAAGAGGCCCCATCTATTCTCATATATTCTAACAACAGTGAGCAGAACCGACAATCAGATTTAACTGTAAAATCGAATGTAGAAAAGCAGTTCTACCAGCGTAAAACAAACCAAGAAAAGGTTTTAACCTGTATATATTTAATTTCAAAATAAAAACCATCATGCTTTTATTTAAATAATCAAAACTGTTTACTTAAAGTATGAAGTCCGCAGTCTTAATATTTGTTTTTACTATGGAGGCTGGAATCCAGCTCAGAGGCATTTTTTCCAATTTTTTAATAAAGTTCAATCAAAATTAGACAAGACTTCATTGTTTACCAAAAGAGAGATTGCTATCTTCAACAAGTGAATGGTTAATGTCATTAATGTAATTAATATTAGCATAGACTAACTTTGGGATTGCTTCTCAGAATAAGGTATGTTGATTATTAAAAGTTGGTGGTATTAAATTCTGTCCTTGACTTTCTGCTTTGCTATTTGAAAGATGATTAATTTTACTCTTGGATCAGGTGATCCCGAACCTCATTAAATGGTGGCATGACCCAAAGAGGAACGATGGAACGCAGTATTTTGGATCCTATAATTACACTGAAAGTCACATTGAGATGTCACTTAGCGAGATGAAGCTGAAAGTTAACTGTTTTTTAATGCATTATCATTTACAGTAAATAACATTTATACTAAATCTCAACACTTTTGACTTAATGTCAGACTCGCTCCCCAAAAGAAAGAAAACAATATAAGACAATATATTCTCCCTGTGAGAAGATTACATGTTCACTTTTCTAATCAATTCTTTACTGGGTTCTAACTTAGTATCTTAAGAAGATTTTAGTCCCAGCTTGTTAGGATGAATAAAGCTTTCCTGGATGGAATGAAGAATTTCCCTCTTCTTTAGTTCAGTATATGGGCTGAAAGCCAATGGCTTAACCTATCAAGGCAATTGGCCAGTAGGCCCATGAATAAAATCAGCCACTTACCGGATATGATCACTAGACTCTACCTTCTTCTGCTTTTAAATGCATAGAGCCGTCTCAACATAATCGATGAAATCAGGACCTCATTTGACCCTTTTCATGAATAATAATTGGAAAAGAATAACAGGAAATGCTGGAAATACACAACAATTCAGGTAGCGTTTGTGAAGAGGAAAACAGAGTTAATGTTTCATGTCTGTTGACTTTTGAAGGTCACCGATTCAAAATATTGATTTGTTTTTCTCTCCACAGATGCTGCCTGACCTGCTAAGCTTTTCTAGCATTGTTTCTATTTCAGATTTCCAGCATCTGCAGTACTTTGTTTCTGCATAACTGTGAAAATATTGGATTCTAACCTCCCTTGCTCAAAGAATGCTTTAACATATGTGAGCTGATACTATGTTAGACTATTTCGCAGGTATCCCTCTCTACCATCTAAAACAGGCTATAGAGCCTTAACAAAGGGACAAGTGCCTATTTTTACCTCCTGCTCAGAAATTAGACATTGCATGTTAGAACAGAGAATGAGCCTGCTTGCCTCTGTCTTCTTTAATGGCCAGTATCAAAAGGCTAACCATAAGCAATAAGATATAGAAGGACAATTAGGCCATTTGGCCCATTGAATCTTCTCCACCATTTTATCATGGCTGATATGTTACTTAACCCCATTCTCCTGCCTTCTCCCCATTATTCTTGACCCCCTTACCAATCAAGAACCTATCTCTGTCTTAAATACACTCAATGACATGGCCTCCACAGACCTGTACGGCAATGTTTTCCACAGATTCACCAGCTGAAGAAATTCCTCCTCATCTCAGTTCTGAAGGATCATACCTTCAATCTGAGGCTGTGCCCTACTGTAATAGTTTCTCTTATTAGTGGAAATATCTTCTCTGCGTCCACCGTAACCATGCTTCTCAGTATTCTGTAAGTTTCAAGCAGACCCTCCCTCATCCTTCTAAAATCCATCAAGCACAGACCCAGAGTCCTTAACCGTTGCTCATATGACAAGCCCTTCATTCCCGGGATCATTCTTGTAAGCCTCCTCTGGACTTTCTCCAATGCAAGCACATCTTTCCGTAGAGATATGGGCCCCAAAACTGCTCACAATATTCCAAATGCAGTCTAACCAGAGAACTATACACTCTGCAGTATATCTCTGCTCTTGTATTCTAGCCCTCTTGAAATGAATGCTAACATTGCATTTGCCTTCCCAATTATCAACTGAACCTGCATGTTAACCTTAAGATAATCCTATACTAGGACTCCCAAGTCCCTTTGTACCTCAGATTTCCAAAGCCTTTCCTCTTTAGAAAATAGTCCATGCCTCTATTCTTCCTACCAAAGTGCAAAACTTTCCAAATTATATTCCATCTGCCACTTCTTTGCCCAGTCTCCTAGCCTGTCTAATTCCTTCCACAGCCTCCTGACTTCCTCAACACTATCTATCACCCCACCTATCTTTGTCTCATCTGCAAACTTAGCAACAATGTTCTCAGTTCCTTTATCCAGATCACTAATGTATAGTGTGAATAGTTGTGGTCCCAACACTTGACACCCTGCAGAACTCCACTAGTCACCAGCTGCCATCCTGAAAAATTATCCTACTCCCTGCCTTCTGCCAGTCAACCAATCCTCCAAACATACCAGTACCTTGCCCCTAACACCATGACTGTTATCTTATTTAGCAATCTCCTGTGCAGCACTTTCTGAAAGGCCTTTTGGAAATCCAAATAAATGATATCTACTTGCTTTCCTTTGTCTAACTTACTTGTTACCTCCTCAAAGAATTCTAATAGATTCATCAAGCATGACATTCCCTTGACAAAACCTTGCTGACTCAGCTGTATTTTACCATGCACGTCCAAGTACTCTGCAATCTCATTCTTTACATTAGACTTTAAAATCTTACCAACAACTGAGATTAGGCTAACAAGTCTGTAGCTTCCTGTCTTCTGCCTCCTTCCTTTCTTAAACATTGGCCATTTTCAGTTCTCTGGGACCCTGCTGACTTCAGCGATTCCTGAAAGATCACCACCCCAGTACCCCTACAATCTCCTCAGCTGTCTCATTTCAGAACTTTGTGGGGTGTAGTCCAACTGATCCAGGTGATTTTTCCACCTTCAGATTTTTCAGCTTCCTCAGCAGCTTCTCCTTAGTGATGGCCACTACACTCACCTCTGTCCCCTGACTCTCTCAAAGTTCTGGTATGCTCCTGGTGTCTTTCACTGTGAAAACTGATGCAAAGGACCTATTCACTTACTCTGCCATTTCTTTGTTCACCTTTACTACTTCTGCAGCCTTATTTTCCAGGGGTCCAATGCCTGCCTCTCTCTTACCTATGAGATACTAAAAAAATTCTTGCAACCTTCATTTATATTACAAGCTAGCTTACTCTCATATTTAATCTTCTCCACCTTCTTATTGCTTTTTTAAGGTAACTCCTTTCCTGGTTTTCAAAGGCTTTCAATCCTCTGGGTTCCCACTAATTTTCACGACAATGTATGCTTTTTCTTTTGCTTTTATGCTGTCCCTGACTTCCCTTGTCAGCATAGTTGCCTCATCCACCCCTTAGCATGTTTCTTCTTCCTTGGGATAAACTTCGAGTATGCCTCCCAGATTAGCCCCAGAATCCCCTGCCATTGCTGCTCCACTGTCCTCCCTGTTCGGCTCCCTTCCTATCAATTCTGACCAGCTGCTCCTTCAGGACCAGAACAAGATGGTGGCAGGGTAATTCGTTCCATTCAGAGCTCCACTCTGCTCACCAGTTGCCTTTCTCGTTCTTTCTTTGTCCTTTTTTTTTCTCCATTCTTCTCTCTTCCTCTGTCGTAATTCTATCCCCCCTCACACCTTTTAACTACCTACTTAAGGAATCAGGAAGGAGCCGGGCCACGACCAGCAACCATGCAGCAGGAGCTAAACGTGCGGGTTGTGGCCTGCAGTGATGATGGGTCGAGCGTGGGCCAGAGTGACAGCAGCGGATCAAGAACGGGCCAGCGAGAGCGAACTGGTGGGGCAGCGGCGGTGAGATCGGGCCAGTGAGGCATCTGCGGTGAGAGCAAGCTGGTGAGGCAGTCGAGAGCAGGCCGGTGAGGCAGTGGTGGCGAGATTGGGTCAGTGAGGCAGCCTAGAATGGATGCTGACAGCAGCATAGTGTGGGCCGGAAAGCCCTGAGTGGGACTGTGGCAGTGGAAAGGAAAGTTGGACTGTCTTAAGTTAGTAGGAACTGCTGATGCTGGAGAATCTGAGATAACAAGTTGTAGAGCTGGATGAACACAGCAGGCCAAGCAGCATCAGAGGAGCAGGAAAGCTGACGTTTCGGGTCTAGACCCTTCTTCAGAAAAGAAAAAGAAGGGTCCAGACCCGAAACGTCAGCTCTCTTAAGTTATCTTTTTTTTTCCTTATCTTATTTTAAGTTAATGTGAATGGCACCATGTATGTATGGTGAAGGTACAAACTTTTCACTGTATTTTTACATTGAATACACATGACAATAAATTATTCAATTCAATTCATGTCTTTGTAGTTATTTTTACTCGATTGTAATACAGTTACAACTGATTTTAGCTTCTCCCACTCAAACATATTATGGTCACTGTCCCCTCAGAGTTCCTTCACCTTAAGCTCCCAAATCAAGTCTCCCTAATCAACACCAAATCAAGAATTGCCTGTTCCCTAGTGGGGTCTACCACAAGCTGTTCCAAAAACTATCTCATAGACATTTCACAAATTCCTTTTCTTGAGATCCACTACCAACTGATTTTCCAAGTCCTCCTGCATATTGAAGTCCCCCATGATTATTGTAGTAGTGACTTTCTTACATGCCTTTTCTATCTCCTGATGTATTTTCTTCTCCACATCCTAACTAGAAAGCCTGAACAAAATTCTCATCAGGGTCTTTTCTCGTTTGTGGTTCCCCCAGTCTACCCACAACAGATTCTAATCCTTCCAACTCTATCACTTCTTGCTAACTGAAGAAAAATGCAGTTTTAAAAGTTGTTAAACCAGAGCCAGGGTGAGTAAAATTGTCCAAAGACTTACCTTTAGGCTATTGCCAGTTCAGCAAGTTCACCAGAATTTGTCTATTTAGGAGCTGTCTAAAGGCACTGGCAGCTTGACAACCATTAATTTATTTCAGTGCGGGCTGCATTTGATCTTGGGATATGAGGAGGAAAGAACGTATACACACCCATTGTACAACTTGGTCTGTACTCTTTGTGAGAATCTGTATTTATAACTAATTCTGAAATAATTTTGCCACCACTAAGTAGTATTTTATGTATATGTGTCATGGGAAATGAAATTATAGAAAATGCAGAAACCATGCTATTATTAGATGTAATCAAGATGGCCAACTCTGTAGCTATGTTCATATTCAATATCTTTATATATACTTGTAAAATTACTTGTAATTTTTTGAGAATTTTGTGCTTATTAATTGAAGGAGTAACTAATCTAATACTGGTATTGAATTTACTCATATTTTAAATGCTTTACAGCTTCAATATATATAAAATCCAGCTTAAAGAAAATCAAAAAAGCATGTAAAAATATTAAAAAGCCATTTGTTTTCCATTAATACATAACAGGTTGTCTGGATTACTGCCACTATGCCATATATCGTTCTTACTATCTTACTGCTTCGTGGAGTTACTCTCCCTGGAGCGATTGATGGAATCAAAGCATATCTCAGTGTGGACTTCTTACGCCTCCGTAAAGCCTCAGTAAGTCTTTAGGACCAGAGTCTCAACACTTGCATGATGCATAGTTATAATATAGGCATTGATCTTTTCCTTTGTCTAAATATGGATGCACATTATTTATTGTGTATATTGCAATAAACATATATGATATTAAAGTGCCAAAACTTAGCTTCATGTACGTTTTAACAACCTGTTTGATGAAAGAGAAAGCAATTAGAAAATTGGGGAGAAGAAAACAAAATCTAAATATCTGCAGATAAATATACCAAATTCTTTTGAATAAAACAGGTGAAGTATGGTAAATGCAGTGGATTGGAAATATAAACCGAAACAGCATTTATTGTGTCAGCAGACAAGTTAATGTTTCACCAATGAGTCTATCTTCCAAATAAAATCATTCTAAATTTATTTTGTTGCAAAGTGACTGTAAACTTACAATATATTTACATTAAATGTTTTTATCTAACAATATTCATGGCAGTTCACAGGATTTTGCTCTGGATCATCCTCAGTTTATATTCTCAAAATAATAGAAGTGAATGCTTCTAGCAATCTTTAACTATTTGTTAATAGCATCAATTTGTATATTAAGTACCAGGGGTTGCAAAATTATGCACCTTAAAGCCTTTTTATTTCATTGTGGGTGTCATGCAAAATGATGTCCTCTCTGTGAAAACACAATTCTGGTAATGAAACAAACCAGACATAATTTTGGTCACAGCATTAATGCATGTGCTGGGAATCTCCATTAGAAGTATGCAGAGTTGGTAAATCATGGACTTAATCAGATATAGTTGATTTGACACTAGACCTGTTGTTTTGGAGCTCAATGCTCAGCTAATTTCTTCCCTTAACATCACACAGCTAAATATGTGCAGCATGAACCTCACTCCACTATTGGTATTAAAAGAATCATCAATTACTTTCATGTTTATTGCTAATTACTTTCAACTGGTATTGCTGCAATTGCAGAAGAAACTGTTGGTTTCTGCGATTCATTGATGGTGTATAATTCTGCAGGGAGTATGCAGCATACAGCAAAGAACTTGGTTCTAGCTTCAACAATTCTGCACAAACTAGTTGCTCTCAGTCATGTGTGCATTCATATGCATTCACTTTGGATTATAACATTTCAGGGAAACGGGAGAGCAGGAACTCAGAGCAAATAAAGTTTATGGAAGAAGAAGAGGTAAATATCTCTAAGCAGGAGATTATGTACACCCAGTGTGTTCAGGGAGCAATTGTCCATTCTCAATCTCAGCAAAGAGTGGTGTATCAAGCATATCCATTTTAACAAGGATATCCATGCAGAAATTTTCTATCTCTTATTGTAACAGTTGCACTCTCAGAGATCTATGGGCACAAGCTTTTGTGTTTTTTTCCTTCCAGATTAGAACAGTCGATGTCCTGAGATTTACTGGATCAGATTCTGGAGATTTATCTACCTTATGCTTTCTAAGACCTCCTGCACTTCCTCTTCTGTAACGTGAACTGTTTTCAACACATCAATATTTATTTCCCTTCATCTCTGGCGTGAATTTCTTTCTTCACAGTAAAAACCAATGAAAAATATTCATTTGGTATGTCTCCTAACACCTGAGATTCAATACATAGATGACCTTGTTAATCTTTAAGGAGCCCTATTCTCTCTCTAGTTACTCTTTTGCTCTGAAAGTATTTGTGGAATCTCTTTGGATTATCTTTAACCTTATCGCCAAGGCTCTCTCATATTCCCTCTTTGCGCTACTAATTTCCCTCTTAAGAATGCCGTTGCGCTTCAAGAGATTTATTTGATCCCAGTTGTCTCTATCTAATACATGATTTTATCTTATTCTTGACTAGAACCTCAACATCTTTATTCATCCAATGTTCCCTACTCTTACCAGCCTTACCAGAGGAATGTAATGCCTCTGAGCTCTCATTATCACACTTTTGAAAACCTCCCACTGGTCAGTCATCCCTTTACCTGTGAAAAGCATACTCCAATCCATGCTAGGTGACATCATCAGTGGAGCCTCCGATGAAGCGATGTTATCCTACTCCGCTTGGAATTTATACTGTTCGGTCTGTTATGGTTAGTACTGTCATTTCCTTACATTTTCTTGGAAATGACGGTACTCACCATAACGGACCAGACAGTATAAATTCCACATTGGGAAGCATGAAATGTGACAGAGCAGGCCTTTGGAATGCCAAAACAACATTTCTGCCACCTGGACCACATTGGAGGAGCCACGCAATGCTCAGCTTATTGTGTACTGTGACTCATGGTAGTCCACTGCATGTGTACAACGTGAGGAACGTCGTTTATCACCAGCTATGTGTCAGTCAGCTGAAGATACGGGCAAAGAGCCAGTGGAAGAAGGGAGGAGGGAGCAGACAGAGCTGATTTCTATCAAGGCTGTCCTTAATTGGCTCAGCCGGCTGCAATACCAGTCAATGCAACCAAATTCCCACTTTGCTGACAGTTCCAAATTTTACCTTTTCTCAGTTACTGACAATCACCGTATCTTCTTGGATACAATGTTAAAGTTAAAAAATGTTCACTCGTTCTTGGGTTAGTTAGTATTCTTATGGGATCACCCCCATTTCCATTATGTAAAGGATGGGCAACAAGTGCAAAGCTCTACTGAAACCAAGTAGGTGTAAGATATCATCTTTACGTTGACTACAGATTTTCAGACAGCTCTGTCAATGCACTAAACATACTAGAAATAGTGAGTAATATAGGGCTAAAAAGAATGAAGAAATTAACATAATTAGTATCAGCAGTGAAAAAGTCACTGCAGAAGTTTGAATATTTAAAGTCTGGCAAATTTCTTAACTTTATGGCCTACCTCCTATGGTTCTAAAAGAGATATGCACAGAGCTTGTGGATGTATTGGCTTTGATTTTCTAAAATTCCATAGATAATACAATGATCCCAGCAGGTTGAAAGTTAGGAAAAGTTAGCTTTTTAAGGAGGAAGGGAGAGAGAAAACAGGGAACTGCGGTACTGTCATCAATCATCAAAAAATTGCAGGAATCTACAAATAAATGAATAATGCCCTTAGAAAATCAGCAAATGATAGGATAGAGTCAACATGGTGTTGTGAAATGGAAATCATGTTTTACAATGCATTAGTGTGTTGAGAATTGTAATGAATAGAGTAGATGAAGGGAATCAGTACATGCCTTACACCTGAATTACCAAAAGGCATTGGGTAACGTGCCACATAAAATTTGCAAGGTGAAAGCTTATGGGGTTGGGGATAATATATTATTGTTATTATTGTTATTATTATTGTTATTATCTCAGACCGGATCATTCAGATTATAATATGATCTCAGTAGGGGGCAGTGCCCTTTTTTTAAAAGTAGCGAAAGTATGCAATTCCTGGTACTGATGAAGTGAACAAAGTCATGAAATTCCACTGTTTTGAACAAGCAACTATAAACTTTACTATGTAAAATTAGTACAGTACATACAGCTTATATTCTAAGATCGAGAATTAACATAAAATAGATGGATAACAGACAAATTGTAATCAAACACCCAACACAACACATCAAATCACAAAATGCAGTCAAGAAAAGTTCCACGGATTTCTGAGCAACCATCCCACACATTAGTAACACTGAGGGTCAACAGATCTCATTAAAACTTTACAAGGGATTCCAATTCCATGCTTTTGTGTTCAAAATTATAAACAATTTTGACAGGGTAAGAAAAGATATTCTGTTTCCATTGGTTGGTATGTTGGTCACAATTGTAAGATTGTCAGCAAGAGAACCAGGACTGAGAAGGGGAGAAACGTCTTTACTCAGAGACTTGTCACGATTTGGAATACACTGCCTGGGAGATTGGAGGAAGAAGATTCCATAGGAGGTTTCAAAAGGGAGTTGGATATTTATTTGAAAATGATGAAGTTGTAGGTCTATGGAGATAGGGCTGGAGAGTGGGACTAGCTGGGTAGCTCTTTCAGGAGCCAGTACAGACATGATGGATCAAATGGCCTCCTCCTGTAAAATTCTATGATTCTATGATATTGTCACCGGAATTCTCTGATCTATATTCTTGCTCAGCAGCATGGAGCAAATGTTGCTTATGCGCTACTTTCACCCCACTCACTGTTGCAATGACCAATTAATGACTCGTAGATTTCTTCCATGCTCCAATGCTTAACTGTATCTAATGGTTCCCAGGATTTCTCTTGAGTTTTAATTGATTGGAGTGATAAACAGTTCCAGGGACCAATTCCTAAACAACTACATAGAGTCAGTGCCCTTCTGTCACCTTCTCAGCAGCGGAACTGCAAGCACTCCTGCACGTTTGTTTTGTGCCTTGAATGGAAACCTTCCACATTAAACTGGAGTTCACTTGCACATCTGTCAACTTGATCTGCTATATCCGCCTCTCCTGACGTGGCCTCCTCTACATCGGTGAGACCAAGCGGATGTTTGGAGACCGTTTTGTAGAGCAGCTGCACTCCGTTTGCTACAACACCTTCCGATTGTGCATCATTTTAACTCTCCCTCCCATTCAGTGGGCGATATGTCCATCCTGGGCCTCCTCCAGTGTCATAATGACTCCACCCACAAACTGGAGGAGTAGCACCACATATTGCGCCTCGGGAGCCTACAGCCCAATGGCCTAAACATGGATTTCAACAGTTTTAAATTCTCCTCACCTCCGGCCTCATCCCATGTCCAAACCTCCCTCTCATCCCCGCCTCCTTGACCTGACACAACCTGTCCATCTTGTCTCCCATCTATCCGCCTCTCACACCTCACTGACCAATTCCCACCACTCCCTACCTGCACTCACCTATCACCATCTCACCTACCTTCCCCAGTTCCACCCCTCCTCTCTATTTATTTCTGAGCTCCCTTACCCCTCCCCATTTCTGAAGAAGAGTCCCGACCTGAAATGTCAACTTTCCTGCTCCTCTGATGCTGCCTGGCCTGCTGTGTTCCTCCAGCTCCACACTGTGTTGCCTCTGACTCCAGCATCTCCAGCTCTTGCTATCTCAGAGCAACCA